CACACACATATACGGATACATGTGTGTATACATATACAGAGACACTCATGTACACATATACAAAGACGTGTGCACACACATATACAGACACGCGTGCACACACATATACAGACACATGCGTGCACACACATATACAGAGACACACATGCACACACATACACAGACACAAGTGTGCACACACATATACGGATACACGTGTGTACACATATACAGAGACACTCATGTACACATATACAAAGACGTGTGCACACGCATATACAGACACACATGTGCACACATATACAGAGACACGTGTGCACACATATACAGACACACACGTGCACACACCCTCAGAGGATGGGCTGGGTGATCGGCATTACTGCTCTTCTGTTTTTCAGGTTCCCGGCTGGGGCGCTGCCAATAGAAGCAGGGACTGGTGGCTAAGGCACTGGCCACATACACCGGGGCTGGCGGGTTCAAACCCACCCAGGCCTGCCAAACAATAAAGATAACTACAACAAAAAAATAGCCGGGTGTTGTGGCCAGTGCCTGTAGTCCCAGCTACTCGGGAGGCTGAGGCAAGAGAATCACTTAAGCCCAAGAGTTTGAGGTTGCTATGAGCTGTGATGCCAGGGCACTCTACTGAGGGCGACATAGTGAGACTCTGTCTAAAAAAAAAAAAGCAGGGACTGTTTAAAGTTTGTTGAGTCCAGGGGAGGAGACTGCCGACACCACAGGCTTCCCCTTTCGGGTGCAGCAGGCAGCAGCCCAGGCTGAGACGGTGGCGTGTTACTGCCACCCTGTGCAGTGCGACAGAAGCCGGTCAGCCCTGAAATCTGGGCCACTGACCTTGTTCCAGATGAGGACAGGGGTTGGGATTCCGATGACCTCACAGCTCAAGTACACCTGGGCACCAGTGACATTCCAGATGTCCTTGGGGGGCGTCACTATGGAGGGACCTGTAAGAGAGGGCAGAGAGGCAAGTCCATCTTTTAAACAGCCCATTCATTAGTCAGCATCCTGGGAAGTAAACACTTGGTTGTGTGTCTGAGGCCGTTGCCTCCGGGAATTATCTGAAGCCAATTTCAAAGACGAGACTGGTTTCCTCATGCCACCAGCATGATTTTTAAGCTCCACTTTGGGAACACATAATCTAAAAAAAACAAACAAAAACAAGTAGGAAGAAAGATTTGTTGTTAAAATGTTCTTCTTTCCCAGACCCTGCCTAAATGAGTTTTAATTCACCAGCTGTTTGGTATTATCTGCGACTTTCCTATTGGTGTGGTGAAATTTTAGTTTCAAAAAGTTTAATGTTTTTCTTTTTATCATTATTTCTATATAATTTATTTTGGAGAGGGAAGGGAGGCAACAGACGACTACTCCTTGGATAATGAAAGAAAAAAATCTCAGAGGATATTTGAAAATGTGCTAAGCAGGCCGGGTGCTCAGGCCTGTAATCCCAGCACTCTGAAAGGCCAGCGTGGCTGGACTGCTTGAGCTCAGGAGTTTGAAACTAGCCTGAGCCAGAGTGAAAATAGAAAAAGAAACTAGGCTTGGTGCCTGTGGCTCAAGTGGCTAAGGCGCCAGCCACATACACCTAAGGTGGCAGGTTCGAATCCAGCCCCGGCCCACCAAACAACAATGATGGCTGCAACCAAAAAATAGCCGAGTGTTGTGGCGGGTGCCTGTGGTCCCAGCTACTTGGGAGGCAGAGGCAGGAGAATTGCTTGAGCCCAGGAGTTGGA